TATTTAAGGAGGAATAACCTTGTGCTTATAGCTATACCTATGGTTATGGTGAAACTGCGTGGATGCCACATTGAAAAAAAATTTAATAGATGTAATCCCGTTTTAATCAATAATTAATTAAAATCATCTGAAAAAGTTAGTGTGGCTTATCATTTTAATGTTATAAAATTGGTTTACATCCGAAGGCACAGGCGCAGTTCATGGCCGAGAGGCAAAATAGAATAACGGAAATATGTAAACGTTTAGCGTTGCAAAATTTCTGATTTTCAAGGTTGTGGTAATCGCTATGGTCCATAAAGGTAACCATAATTGATCCAAAAACTGCTCTTATTTTAAGGGGTACAAAAAGTCTCTAATATTTATTATATGATCATAATGTAAGTGGAAACTCAATTTTGTATGGAGGACTATACCCAAATCTCTAATCTTCTCAACGATGTCTCTAACATTTATCCATTTATATCATTTAACGATTTTAATATTTTGAGATACTCAAAATAACTCACTTATACATATACAAAGGAATGGAGATTCAATCAATTTAAGATCGCCCGGAATTGAATTATATGTTGATGTGGCACGTTTAATAGCAGTGTACTGTCCAACATTAGTCCTAGAGTTAAGAACATAAAAATTTGAATTATTACGAGTTTCATGTCTATGTATTTCTGTAACTCTTGTTAGTGAAATATTGGTTTTAATTTGTTCAAAGATAATTTTGTGTATTAATTTGCATTCTTCTGTTCTTATTATTTGATCAATTTTCAGGAATTTTGTAATTTTTATATAGCTCATTCGTTGAGTAAAGTCTAGGTAGCTTATAAATATATTTAATAAACCTATTTTGTAGTCTTTGCAGTCTTACTTATTCAGTTTTTCGAGTTGTGGCCCATATAACACAGAGATATTGCAGGTGTGATTTGGAGGTGGCTTCATATTATACAGCTGGTTTCATTGTATTCGGTACATGCTCCGCGCATAATTTTATTGCTCCACGAGCACTCGATAATTTGGATTGCAGGTAACAACCATTTAAAATAAATTGATAAACTGTTGTTCACTCTGTGCTCCATATTATTTATACCATCACTTTCAAACCGTAGGACTGTATCATCTACAATAGTGATGTCTCGATTAATTTTTGACAAGCTGTGTACATACAGGAGATATAGTAGTGGACTCATGACTGATCCTTGTGGTACCCCTGTCACTAATATTAATCTGGAACTCTCTCTCTCTGGTTAGCCATTGTATACTGTTGTCGCTTTGTAAGATATGTTCTAATTAAATTATGTGCTACCCCTCTCATACCCATAGATTCCAGCTTCTCCAATATCATTCCAAAATTCACTGTGTCGAAGCCCTTTTGCAAATCAATAAAAACTGCTACAACCATTTTATTTTTATCCATAATGTTTGTGATGTAGTCTTTTAAGCCAATCACTGCAGCTTGTGTAATGCTTTTTTTTTGAAATCCATATTGTTACTTATCGAATTTGAAAGTTTTGTCAACAAAACTAACAATTCTTTCTTTCAAGACTCTCTCAACTATTTTAGACAGGGTTGTTGCCTGGTTCATACTGATTTCCTGCTTCATGTATTGGAATTATTTTTGTGATCTTCGGGCACTCAGGAAACTTTCCTTCCATCATTCATCATGTTGTTTACAAGTTTGACCAAGATTGGTATCAACATCAACATCATTTTACAGTTTATTATGCCTAAACTTGTGACTCCATCTGGGCCAGGTGCAGCATAAGCCTTCAGATTACTAATAATTGCATATTATATCTCTTCTTCAGTAGAGGGGTAAAAAAAAATTATTTTATTTTGTAAAGTTTCTTCTGGAAAGTTTTTATTAAAATCCGTCTGTTCCTAGTTCTTCTTCCCTTGTTCCACTTCCTCACCAATCTTCCTGCCTATATTCCTGAAATATATATTTAGATGATCTGGTATTTCTTGGTCGTCTTCTATTTTTTTCCCATCAATTTTTAGGTATTATTCAATGTGGTTTGATTTTTCATTATCTTCAAAGTTATTGGCAATTGTTTGATTAACAACTTTCTAGGTTATTCTAAGATCACCACTGGCGTATTCAAACTTTCTGTGAATGTAATTCTTTTTCAATGATTTTCCTAAGTTGTTACAGTAGTTTTTCAAAATTTTAAATTCTTGCTGTAGTAATACATTATCGGGATTTCTCTTAAGTTTAGAATACACCTTATCTCTTTGCCGAATTTTGGAAATGAAGTAACTATTAACCCACATATTGTTTCGATGCCTGATTTTTTCCTAGTAATAGCTTCCATCATGCAATTTTGTATTAATTGTATAAATTTGCAAATGTTTCTATGTTGTTTTTGTCTATTTCCTCCTGCAGTCTAGCTTGATAATATTCCGTATCAATAGACTATTGTTCTCTCAGTTTTTGGAGCCTTATTAACTCTTAATGCAATAAAATCCATAACTTGAACTTTGTGATCTGTAATAGGACTGTCAAAATGTGCTGTATCGATCTTAACATTTTTTATGTTAGTGTGTGTTCAATAAGAGACATTGCATTTCCAGTCTCTCTCGTGGGATTGGTTTCATTGATTAGGCAAAATCCGTTTTCTGTCATTAAATTTTTGTATTCATTGTTACTACCACTGTCCTTTAATAAATTTATATTCATATCTCCCACTATAAGGTTAGGTTTTGCAATATCGTGTAGCACATTAACCAGATCATTCAAAAACAAGTGCAAATTAACTGAAGGAGGTCTGTGTACTGCAACAATTTTAATTTCAAATTTGGGCACCTTAACAATTAACCAATTACAGTTATTTATATATTTATTTTCTTCAATTTCCAATTTCAAATCATTCCTTACATAGATTGAGACTCCTTCCCCCTCTGGTTGGTCCACAGTTGTGTTCAGCAGTATAGTCGTGCAGATTATCCAGTTTTCTGTTATTACATTTATTGGTGGTTCATTATGTAAATGTTTCAGCGCTTCCAAATGTTGAAGATTGTGTCTTAAACTCCTAATATTAATGTATAACACTCTCAAATTCAACAAGAATTCTGAGATGTAGCTTAATATTTATATTCTAGGTGGGTATTTTCTTTTGACTGGCTTACTTTTGAAGATCCTTTGTGGAAAGTATTTTTTTTGGTGGACTATAATCGGTCTTTTTTATAAATACTTTCCCATCAGCATAGTACGCATATTTATAATTGTTTTGGTTTTTATATTCGCGGGCTTCTCTTAGTAGCTCCTGATTTTGCTTTATCAAATCATGGTAGATGCATATTTGTTTGTTTGGTCCTTTAAACTCACAGTCCCTAGCAAAAATGCTCTTGATTTCCTTTCTTTTTTTCAGTATTTGCTGCTTTACCTGCAGAGTTCTACATTTGATTAATATGGGTTTAACTTCAGCTTGGGTGTTGATTCTGTAAGTAGCAGTAATATCCTCGTCAGGAAGTCTCAGTCCCATTGCTGATAGTAGGGCAACAACTGTCTCTTCCACTGTTTTTCCATCTTGATGAGGTATTCCAGGGCTAATCAGATTATTCTGTTTTTCCATTTTCTCCTGAACATTCAACTTGTGTTCCAACTTTTGTACACGTTGCTGGAGGCCCTTTTTTTTCTTGCTGGATGCTATTGTTCACCACTGGGCACTTTTCGTAAGCTTCACGTTGCTTTTCAAATTTATCAGACATGTAATATATGCTTGCCTTGAGTTCCTTCATTTCAGTATCGTAATTTTTCTTCAAACCTTTAAAATTCGCCGGATAACATCTTTTTAATTTCTAAAACTAGTTTTTTATCCATAATTTCTTTTTTATTCTTAACCTCACTCATGTCTTGTTGACAACAAATTACAATATTGTCCTTATTAATCACTTTATGGTAAGAGGACTGACAAACTAGACAGTCAAACGACTCTTTTACTAACTACACATAATTTTCAACTCTTTAGCGTCCTCGAGATTTTCTTGTCTCGGCCGCAAGCGGCCTCGTCGATAACTTTTCTCTACGTACACTAAAAAGGCTTTCCGCGGCCTTGGTATACAAATAACTATTGTGGTGTAACCTTAGGGTGTAACTCATAAATAAATAAATATTATGTTTGGCTTTTTTTAGTAGAAAAGTTAGTTTACTGTAGTGGTAATTTCATATCCAAGTTCCTGGATATTGGCACTATTTCCATTCATAGGCTGTATAAACGTCCTTTTAAACATCAAGCCTTACAGCCCCATATTTTCAAGCTCAACCAGAATCGGCTTAGTTGAAGCTTAAATTCGGCTTTAAGCAGGTGGAAGTTTATGGCAGTGGCATTTGGATTTAGTTTAAATCGGCTTTAGTTCAACATCAAACCATAAAATGGCAGCAGTTTGGCCGAAGTCTCCTTCTTTTAATGAAAAATATTGGAAATGGGGATAAATCCATAAGTGGCTTTTTAGGATAGGATGCCGCGGGAAATGGTGTGCTTGGTGTATGTAGTGAACTTTGCGAATGACGTTTAATTTATCAACTTATAATTAGGCCCTCACTTCGTGAATATTTTTAATGAGAAAAGTTTGATTCCGTCACTGTCGCTACTGGAGACTCAGCCCCAGCACTTGTTTATACTTCTACATGATTTTGGTAAAATATTTTCAAAGTCCTAAGTGATAAAATTAATATCAATTTAACAAACCTAAAACAATTTAGTCTTTTCGGTGACAATGTCTATGTAGTCGTAAAATGAATAATTTATTTAGTAAAATAGAAATGGAAATGTGTATATGAAATTCTAAACTTTTGCTCTAGGGAATCCTCCAGACCTTTCTCGAAGTTTTTGGTGTATTAATATTCATTTCATAGGGACGAAAATTGGGGGGACCAGCAAAATTTGTGATAAAATTTAAGTGGACTAGACACAGGTTGTTTTTTTGGAAAATATTCTGATCAATTCCAATAACTTTTTTTTGGCATATTTGCATTCAATAAATCTAACAATTTTTTTTTTCAGGTTGCTGGCTCAATCATTGGCAAGGGAGGCCAAAATATCACCAAGCTTAGAAGCCAGGTCAGTAATTATAAGATGATTTGGGGATTTTTTTAATATAATTATTTATAGTATGGATTAAATCAAATATATCTTTGCCATTTAGAAGGTATATTAATTTTCTGTAACAAGGTGAATTTGGTGTCGAAACACTAACTATTAAAACTAATGTTTTTTGTTTTTAACTTTACCTATTATAATCCATACTATATTCTGTACTGTTTAATTTTTTGTGTTTTTTTTTTAATGAGTGGCTTTTAAAATTACATATTTTTATATCTTATTTTTCTTTCTTTAGTTAGGGGTTTTTCCAAGAAGTTACCTTGAACAAATTTGACACTATCATAGGTCCTAAATTGATGAATTCATGCTTTATAATAATTAATGAAATAATTGTCACTAACAAAAGCCACAATTCGTCTCACAATAGCTCCCAAACCAAATCTGAATTATTTATTAGACATTTTGCCCAATATTGCAGATTTTTAATTCAGTTATAGCCATATATTTGTTACCCTGGTCTGCATACAACAAACCCTGTAACATTTATTACCCTTGCAATTATAAAAATACAAATCTGCAGTATAGAGTAATTATTTATCAATAACTGTCTATCTATGTAACTTGGCTGTGTTTTTTCTTGTATTTGTTTTAATCTAATTTGTTTCTAGTTTTTTTAGTTTTTAGCCTATATTTTGATGTCCACCTTGACGGATTATGTCTTGTGTCTTTTGGATGTTGTGCCTGTATACTTAGTATACATTACATAATAGGGAATCTCTTACAACCTTGTGAAGAAGCAGCTTAAAAACTAATTTAATTAGGAAGATATATTGTCTTGGTTTTTAGCTGTACACAAATCCAAAGACACAAGAGTCTCTAGGGGTCATCTGTTGAGAAAAAATATTAACTAATAATGTTCTATCTCTCCCATGGCCTGTCCACCCGTGTGCCCACCACTGCCCACCAATGTTGTTGCCCGCCATTTTGTCGTTGTTGTTGTGCGCGGTTGCCACAATTCTACTACTGCCATTGTTGCCACCATCTACCACTGAACTATGAACCGCCCAACCCGAATACTACTACTACTACTACTACAACAGTACAAAGCCTCGATAACTGTCCCCGATTGTCCGGGCCCTGAACGGTAAATGTCCAAAACTACTACTGTCTTTTTTTTTTAAATAATAATTATTTTTCACTCCGGCTCTGGTTGCACTGCCTGCGTTTTTACAAGGTTTTTTGTTTTGTTTTTCAGATAACAGTATTTCATTCTTGTAGGGTGGCCACAATAATATTATCAAAACTACCATCCTTTTTGAATAATGTCCATAAAGTTTAGTTGTTCAAATTGTGACTCTGTGTAAGATCTGAAAGTCGTTTTATGTGGCCACCCAGCAACTATTCATCATCCATTTGACTGATTTAATAATAATACGATTAACACCCAGGTTAATGGTTCGCTTAATACTATCTTATGGTTTTCCACTGAATTGGACACCAAAGCTAAAATAATAGAACTGTTGTGCTGTAGCAGCTCTAGTCAGTTATTTAAGAGCACAGTTATATTGACACTTTGGTGTTTAGTTCATGTAAAAGGCTTGCCAAAATTTTAATTTTTTTGCCACCTTGATGGTTGATTCTACATTTAACTGGAGGTTGCGGTTAAAGTAACTGACTAATTTTTAATAATACCAAGTCATACATATTTTATTTGTAGTTTTATTGAAGCGATAAAATCTTATTAACATTTAGGTACTATTATGTCCATAAAAACATGATTTTGTCCTTTGAGAATATTTCCCTAACCGCCATATACCTAAAGTAGTTTTATAAAATTGTAGAACTATCCCAATGTGCCAGTTGTAAGTGTTAATAAGTTTAGGTTGGGTAAGTTTATTCGTTTATGTTGCCCATGCTAAGTTGCCGCTTGGTGCAGTGCAACCATCTGGAGCCTGCGGTCCCATTAAGAAAGTCCTCGACCTCTAAGTTTACGTTTTTAGAATAAGTGTTTAATTAAAATTTTAGCGATCCAAAAAGGATGGTCCATCTGCTTGGGATAAGCGAATCTTGTCCGATTTCAGCGTCTTCAAATATCTTGAAACATAAACTCCATTCTCAGATGTGATATGTCAAAATACATTATCCTTCAGAAAGCACTTCTGAGAAATTATGGAAGTGTGAATCCGGATTAATATATCAGTATTCTGGTTATTGCTAAGTAACTCCAGCTAGCGCTAATCTACGATCTGCGTTAATCAGCAGCATTCCTGAATAATTCCATGTAACTTAAAATTCAGAGGATCCAATTTCGCATTTCAATCTATCTGACGATACACCTCTTTTATTCCTGAACATCTAAATCTGTTTCTGCTTAATGATAGGAACTTTAAATAGTATATTACATAACAAGCAAGAAAAGTAACTTAACATACAAGTGTGATATTTTAAGCACTTAACCTTAGTCAAGTGCGTAAATCACACACATATGTTAAGGGGTCTTTCCTGCTTGTTATGTACAATATTTTTCTCACAACCTCCCAAGAACGTAGGTACCAAACACTGGGACAATACGTTTTATCATAGCACAGAAGTTATTTATGTACAATCGTAGGTACAGTTTAATTATCCAGATGCAGTCTACAAGGTCGAGGCTTGCAAGAAACCCCGACCAAAAAAACTGTAAGGTACAACCTGTTGTAGTGCATTTTTTTGCCATATAATTATCATAGCCACAAAAATTAATTTCAACTTATCTTCTTCTTGTGGCACCTATTGAAATAGGCATTTGACAGTATCGCTCACAGCGTGACAGCTGAAATATACTATAACTTTTCAAACAAGTAGTACTTGTCGGATAAAGTTCAAGTGAAGCCGGTAGGAGAAGTTTCAGTCCTGGGTCCGATATGTTTTATGATTTACATCAACGATGTCCCTTATGGTGACACCAAGACCACCTAAACGGTCTTTGAAGATGACAGCTCTCTGTCTTGCTTGATTGCGAGAGGACACAGTATAGTGCTGCTTTTGAATGAAGCAAAAGCAAAACATTTTTATGTTGTGCTTGTTTAGTGATCTCATCAGAACAATCTCATCCCAGAATATTGCCAACTGGGAAGGTATCAGGACGAAAAAGACAGCTACTTATTTTATGGAAATTACTTTTTATAATCTGGATGAATTTTGTAATCATAAGATTCACCTATTTCCGAGACGTGCATTATTTGGCTAACAGGAGGTTGTGGGAAAAAAATTGTTCCTTAGCTAATCCTGTAAAATATCAACCCGCAAATTAATTTTCCCTAATAAATAAGTACTCATGTAATTACTAATATGAAAATTTTTACAGGTTACTGACACTTTCTTCAGACATGGACAGCGTCTGCAATATCGTTAGCGATGTAATGCCAAATCTTGAAGAGGTAAGTTCATAATATAAAATAGATTATCCATCACTTCTAATGCCTTATAAAGCAAACTCAGACATGTTTTCTTTGAAAATTAATTAGTTTCAAAAACGAGAAGCGAAATTGAAATTTGCCCTAAGCGAAGAAAATACATCAGTTATTTTATCGATCTAATGGCGGGATTTATCAGGGGCGCAAGGGATTTTCTATGCCAATTTAATGGAGATAAATTGTATTGCGATTTACTTTTGTATACAGTTGAAAACAAAGTAGGATTTAAGCCAGGAAAATTAAGCCAATTTTTTCCATTAGAGAGGATTAAAGAGTGCTCGAAAACATGTAAAATTAATGGAAAAATGTGTAAATTTATTTTGCATTTTGTATCTGCATATGAAAACAACTTGGTTTATCAGGATTAACAGAGAATTTGCAATTTGGGAAAAAAAAATACGTGCTTTACTTCTTCAGTTAGTCACTTACTAGTGTCTATGAAAAATTGTAAAATGTGTTTATAGTCATTATAGGTTTATTATTTGATTTAATTCACACGCTCTCACTAGCCCAAACTATGCATGCAAACTTTGTCGAAAATTCGTCCGGATTTTGATTAAGGAAAGTTTCAAGTGAAATAGACTGGTGGAATGTGCTTTTGGCATTGCACAGTTGTCGAAATTGAAATTTGGTTTTATTATGGGAATTCGCGACAGTTTCGTTGGGTGCAGAGCCGGTTTAGGTTTATTCACTGAATTCTTTGATACGGAAACAATTTTGCAACTTTCAAAAGTTTATTGTTACACAATTGAGTTAGGTTATAATAAGCTGGAAATTGTATGCTAATACAATATGGCAACAATACAGATTTTGAGAAACTAGTCAGAGAAGGCGTTCTAAATTAAAATTAATATACATGTTGTAAAATATACAGGATATTCTGCGCTGCAGCCTTTTGGGGAATCAAGAAAAGTCGCCCTTTGGGGATTTACATTTTTATGATTATGTCAAGCTGCAATTTTTTTTTCGTTTTAATTTACAAGTTTGCTTCCACCTTTGATATTTTTTCAATACAATATTTTCCAATTTCAGAATGGAGCTCTAGCTGCTAATGGAACTGACATAGACATGAGAATGATGGTCCATCAAAGCCAAGCCGGTTGTATCATTGGCAAAGGCGGTTGCAAGATCAAAGAAATCAGAGAGGTAAGTAATTTATTTCTTAATTAATTAAGCAATCAAATAATAGCTTGTCATACAAATTTGTTTCCTCTTTGAAAGCTTGTACAAACTTTCTGGCCTAAAAACTTTAATTCATAAGGCAGCCCTGTCGTCAAAAACTGAGAAGAGGGAGTGATGCGGCTTCTTTCACTTCTTTGATGTTATATCCGATTTTTCCCATTTTGAAGCGCCTGGAAAAGTTTTATTTAATCAGAAAACGCCTTTTCGGGCAAATTGACTTTTAAATATTTTAAGAATATTTTGGATCTTAGAATAAATTCGATGTAAGGCAAGGATCTTGGTAGATAATTTATTTTTGATTTCAACTTTCAATTAATGTTAAATATTAAAATAATGATTCTACAATAACAGATTTTTTGAATGCGCACTACACCATATTCAAAGCCTGGAGTCTCAGCTCCAAGAATTGTCCAGTCGACGCGAGAAATAAGAAACAAATTATGTTTTCCTTTCCTCAATTTACTCCGCCCATTGACCAGTCAATCCTAGAATTGTTTTAACTCAAAATTTTCATAAATTAAAAGTCTTCGGAATAAAATGAATTCAAACCAGTTTTATTTATTACGGTATGTAATTGAAATCTAACCTTTGTTAATAAATTACATAATTACGTAAATTTATTTATGAATTGTATTTACTTTAATGCAACTTGTGTTTTTAAAAAGTTTTATTTTAATTAAAAACGAAATTACATTGATGTTTCTATGACAAAGCTGACTCAAAGACGTTAATTCTATACTGCTGCAAGCCCGTACTTATAATATGATAAATGCTGAATAAGCAAAAGCTTGCTAAAATTCCTTATTTTAATAATACGTCGTCAGAAGTGGCCATATAATTTCTTCCTCACTAAGTTTGAGAAAATTGGGGATGATTTTCGAAAGGTTTCAATTCTATTCCATCTTTTACATCAGTTTGATTTTTCTTACAATAATTATATTGACATACAAAGATTATTATAACTATGATTACAATGATTAATGTAATAATTACAATTATTGATAAACTTGAGCTACCAATATCGAATTCTTTAAGAGGGTGAACAGTTAGTTTTTTAGCATTTTCTAAATCTTCTCTTATAGTTTCAAGATTTATTTCTGTTAACTCTAAAGGTTCGACATTTTGGATTAACTATTTGTCAATATTGATTGATGGTAGTTCTCAAATTGATGATGTCTGGTTTTTGGAAATCATAATTATTTCCTTGAATTTTGACTTTACAAATTGAGAGTAAAATCAATAAAATGTTACTTATTACTTCAACATTTATGTTGGCTGGGACATTGGAAGTAAAGGCTCTCTTTTGATGTTGGAATAATTTTAAGGGAATTGTCATCCAATTGTGTGACAGAAATTTCCTTATATTTGACAGGAGTCAATGGGTAATGATCATAGGTAATGATTGGTTAAATTCATTGTTGGATAAGCGCAGGGCTCATTTTGATTGAGTATAATGATATGTCTTCGATTTTAAGACAGTTTTCTTTTATATTATAAAAGTTGTCATTAGATCTCATCAAATAAGGGTTTCTTAATATCGCTATCTGGTTGTGTAGTGGAATTGGATATATGTGATAAGGAATGTAAGGTTTATCTGATATCAAAGGAATTGCAACGTAGAATATGATTAGGTCATTCTTAATGGTGAAGTCTGCGTGTGCAACTTCATAGTATTTTGTAATGTAATGTTATCAAAAGGGATTCGAGAGCTGGGGTCAGATTTCGAGATTATGGCTCGTAGCTCTTGATACTTAAATATACTGTGATGCGTTGTGTTTATTTCTGCGAAATTGATTGCCGTTTGTACAGAGTGGGCCAATTTGGACACTTTTAATAGGAAACATCAATTTCTGAGCAAGATAGAAAAAAATGAACCCCTCACTCTGAGGCTCAAATTTTGATTGGTGCAAACCGCATTTTGATATCTTCAACCGTTTAGCCGCTAGAGGGCGATTCTCGATTTGGAGCAATAATGTGAAACCATCATAACTTTTTTGTTTATGAAAATTATTGATTTCCGTAAAAACTTTCTAGAAGCACTTTTTCAAGCAGAATTCAGTGACGTTCTCAATTTTTTTCTAGTTGGTCCCAACTTCGAGATATTGACCAAAGTTTGTTTTTTTTTCAATAGGACACCCTATATATCAATAGCTCATTAGAAAGCTCTGCTTTTTCTGATTTCAAAAGTTCGATAGGTTTATCTCTAACAGTTTTCGAGAAAAAAAAAATATTTCGGTTTTTTTCATAAGAAACAATGTGTTGGAAAGAGACCTTTCTCAGTTTCCTTACAGATATAAAGTCCTTTCTGCTTGAAAAAGTGCTTCTAGAAAGTTTTTACGGAAATCAATAATTTTCATAAACAAAAAAGTTATGATGGTTTCACATTATTGCTTGTTGTAGTTGTAGCAGACACTTCTGAACTGAAAGAACAAGTCGAACAGCTAAATGTACAGATAACATCTCAGCAAAACGCACCACGGGTGACAGCCTCTAAAACTGAATATAACATCTCTGTTGAGCCAATTTTGCTCGAACTAGCTGAACGAGAAAGGCGTGCCCCAAACGTCCTTATCTTTGGAATAAAAGAAAATAATTCGTCACAAAATGAACAGGACGGTGACCTGGACAAGATAGTGAACATGTTAAAAAGAGTGAAAGATAACATTCAAAAAGATGACATCAAAATATACCGTCTTGGAGCACCTGCTCAGGGGAAAGTCAGGCCTATCAGAATCGTGACCGCATCTCTTTCAATGGCCAGGGAAATTTAAAGAAATAAGGCAAAACTTAATGAAGAAAATATCTATTTCAGAGCAGACCAAACACCTCTTCAAAGAACATACTTAAAGGCCATACTCAGTGATCTGGAAGAACGAAAGCAAAAGGGGGAAATGAATATAAGAGTCAGATATATTAACAATGTTCCAAAAATAGTTTTCTTTCAAAATGAGGAAAGAGAAAATTGAAAAAACTAAATGTGTCCCTTGTTGAAGTCTCCTTTTGGTTAAGCAATTTGTTTTCCATGGTAAATAAGCTCGATGAACTAAAAGCTAGCATCCAAAACACCAATGTCCATGTTATATTGATTACAGAAACATGGCTAACCGATCAAATACCAGATAGCCTTATAGGTATACCAGATTACTACTTGTTCCGTAAAGATCGAGGAACCGACGGAGGCGGTGTTTGTTTATTAAAGTGACATAGGTGGCCAGAATGTACATCCAGTCATAAGTCAGCGATTCGAAACAGCAGGTTCAGTTGAATCGTTATGGCTTGAAGTTAAAATCAGAAATTTTAGGTTCCTACCGTAGAGCTTAACTTACGACTGATACGAGCTATTGAAAGTGTTATGACATTAAAAGAGCCTGTCTTTATCACGGGAGACTTCAATTACCCTGAAATCACCTGGCACAAACTAGTAATTCATCCACACAACTAGTGCAGTTATGACTTCCTGGAGAGTTACAAAAACCACAGAGGACACCAACATGTTAATTTCCCAACATGAATTAGAAATGCCCAGCAATCACTTCTAGACTTACTTATAACTAATGAGAAGAAACTAATTTTCGATATTCACCAACATGCACCGCTGGGAAAAAGTGACCATGTAGTATTTACAGCCACAACGCAATTTCAAGTTATAACTCAGCCAACTCACAAGGTTTACAAGAGACAGTTCTGGAAAGCTGACTATGATGCTGTCAACAACTCACTCCAGCAAGAGTTACATAAGGTAGCAAATCAAACAAATATTGACACCTTCTACAAAGCAATAAACAGATCAATCAACATAAACATACCAATAAGACCTCAAAAAGTTAACAAGCAAAAACTGTGGCTGACTAAAGAATTATTTAAAGAGAAGAGATCCAGCTAAAAAGAAATCTGTGGCATAAATATAAAATATCCAAAACTGAAGATAACTATCAGAGGTATCAACAACAAAACAACAAAACTAAACCGTGCATGGTGAGGGCAAGAAAAACTTATGAACATAATCTACTGACAAACGACAAACAATTCTATGCATACATAACTTGCACCCTCAACTCCAAGCATAAAAACTTTAACATAGTTGACAACAAACCCAACAACCATTTGAGACAAACCAAGAAATTGCAGAATGCTTTGCAGAGCAATTTGAAAGCGTATACACATTACTGGATCAGAACACAAATAAACCCACACTTCCCTTGGAAACCTACTCCAGGACTGAAATTACCATCATATTCAAAGCAGAAAAAGTAGAAACCGCAATCACATCGCTAAAACCAAACTCTAGTCCAGGGCCTGATGAGATCACACCAGTTTTTCTCAAGAACTGCGTACAGGTGCTGAAAGAGCCTTTGTCTCACTTGCTTAACACCATAATGAGCACAGGAGATTTCCCTTTAGCCTGGAAGAGGGCTGTGGCAACACCAATATACAAGAAAGAAAACAAACAGCATGCAGAAAATTATAGACCAATCAGTCTAACAAGTGCACTATGTAAATGCATGGAAAAAATAGTAGCCAAAGAACTCACTGATTTTCTACTTGAAAATGTTTTACCTGCTGAACAACATGGCTTTCTCCCAGGAAAATCAACATTAACAAACCTGCTAACCAGACTAAATGAGTGGACCCTGGCTGATGACAACCATGAACCAATTGATGTCATTTACCTTGATTTTGAAAAAGCATTCGACAAGGTGCCAACAGAATTTTTGCTTTATAAATTGGAACATTTTGGAGTTAGAGGTAAACTTCTGAGGTTGTTGGAAGGCTTTCTCACTGTACGTACCTTCCAAGTACGTGTGGATTCCTCACTTTCAAAGGAGCACAAAGTACACAGCGGTGTTCCTAAGGGGTCAGTCCTTGGCCCGCTGCTGTTTATACCTTACATAAGTGATCTCTATCAAGGGCTTCACACGAATAATGCGACATTTGCTGATGATGGAAACCTATACACAAATCCG